GCCCTATCCCCAGCTGAAGTTTCTGTTCTTTCCAAAGGACTGAATTTCGCAGTCACCCCTACTAGCATTCCTAGAGAAGAAATCATCAGCCAAATTGAAACGGCCATTTTCCACCTCTCTCCTGAAGAAAGTAACGACATTAGAAGACGGACGGCCAATATCCTGCACAAGGCAAAACCTCCCAGCCAAAACATAAGCAGAGAAGAACGCTTAGCGCTCAGAAATCTGAAACAGAACAACGATATTTTAATCCTACCAGCAGACAAAGGGAACACCACGGTGGTGATGGATAAAGAAGACTACTGCAATAAAATCAGGGCCATGCTCTCAGATCACAAAGTGTATAAAAAACTTAAACGCAACCCGACTTCCACTATAGAGAAGAAAACGACCTCTCTTCTCAAAAATGCAGAGTTCTCTCCTCAAACCCTTAGAAATTTAACCCCCAGAGGATCCTCAGCCCCTAGACTCTACGGTCTCCCTAAAATACATAAAGAATCAGTGCCATTACGCCCCATCGTCAGCAACATAGATGGACCTACCTACAAATTAGCCCGCTATCTCACCAAACCCCTCCAAGAACTCACTGGACTCAATGACTCCAACATTAAGAATTCAATAGATTTCGTAAACAAAATCACTAAAATTAAAACAAAAACCGATGATATACTTGTAAGCTTTGATATAGTCTCATTGTTCACAAATGTTCCAGTCCAGGACACTTTAAACATTATCAAAAAATCCGACAGAATCTCTACGAACCTCCTTCCATTAATAGAACACTGCTTAACGTCAACTTATTTTCAGTTCCAAGGAGAATTCTTTGAACAAACTTCTGGAGCAGCAATGGGCTCTCCCATCTCACCCATCATTGCAAATATCTTTATGGAACACTTCGAAAATCAAATTCTAAAAAACGCACCTCTCAAACCATCTACATGGTTCCGATACGTTGATGACACTTTTGTCATCTGGAGCCATGGCAGAGACACTCTTCCTCAATTTCTTGCCTTTCTCAACTCTCAGCATCCTAACATTCAGTTCACAATGGAAGTAGAACAAAACAGCCAAATCCCTTTTCTAGACGTGTTGGTCAGAAGGAACGATGATGGTACTTTAAGCCATCAGGTCTATCGAAAACCAACACACACAGATCGATATCTTCACGCCACCTCCCACCACCACCCTTCGCAAAAGAATTCAGTCATTAGCTCCCTGGTATACAGAGCCCTCACAATTTCCGAATCAACCTCTTTGAATGGGGAATTAGAACACCTCAACCAAGCCTTAACAAAAAATGGATATAGCCCTAGAAACATCAATCAAACAATCCAAAGATTGAAGAACAAAATTTCCAATCCCAACAATGTCGAGACACCGCATGAAGAAAAAGAAAAAGAAAGAGAAAAGTTCCAGATGGCTTTCCTTCCGTATCTGCAAGGCACGACAGAACGCATTAGCAGGATTCTGCGAAGACACAATATAAAAGTGATCTCCAAACCACAAAGGAAGATTTTCCAGCTACTTCCTAACCCGAAGGATCAGAGACCACGCTTAGAAACACCAGGTGTATACAAAATCCCCTGCTCTTGCGGAAAAGTGTACATAGGAGAAACCGGGAGGAAGATCAGTACACGAATCAAAGAACATCAACGGTGTACCAAATACGGCCACTTTTCTCAATCAGCCCTAGCCGAACACTGGATGGAGACTGGACACTCCGTGCAATACGACAAAACCACGATGCTAGCCCCCTCTCAAGGGTACTTCGCCAGAAAACATCGCGAAAGTCTGGAAATTTTCAAGCATCCCGACAACCTCAACCGAGATAAAGGTTATCAGACAAACCCGATTTGGCACACTGTCCTCCCGGTTTTTTAATTGATCAATCAAAAACATTTTTGAACAACACATACTAACTGACAAACAGTTAGCCAATACTGGAT